ACAGTTCTGTTTGTGACGATATATGCTACGACTTCGCTAGCTTCTTGCTACGTTTTTATCCGGTCAGGTCGAGCGGCAGTGGTCGGGGCCGTTACTAGGTGGCCATGTTGTGCCTCTAGTGCCAGCGGCGTGTCTGGAGTGTATTTTTTGGCTGTGACAGACCTTTCTTTGTTTCGTGGATGTTTTGCTGGCTTGTGATGGGGTGTGAACCGACAGTCTGTAGAGTTTTCCATCTCGTGTGGGTGAGTGATATTCTACTTTGATTTTGGTTAAGGAAGATTATCATTTACAGTGTAATAAGTGAGGGGATTCTGCAGACTGTTGAGGGTTCAGCCTCCTGATGAGTCGGTGAAACTCCGACGAAACAGTTTGTCACAGCCCCTCGTTTGTTGTCCTTTTCTCTATCTCTGCCTACGGTTTACCGGACAGTTCTGTTTGTGACGATATATGCTACGACGTCGCTAGCTTCCTGTTACAGTTTTTTACGGTCAGGTCGAGCGGCAGTGGTCGGGGCCGTTACTAGGCGGCCATGCTGTGCCTCTAGTGCCAGCGGCGTGTTTGAAGTGTATTTTTTGGCTGTGACAGACCTTTCTTTGTTTCGTGGATATTTTGTTGGCTTGTGATGGGGTGTGAACCGACACTCTGTATAATTTTTCATCTGGTGTGGGTCAGTAATAGTCTAATTTCATTTTGGTTAAGGTAGATTATCATTTACAGTGTAATCAGTGAGGGGATTCTGCAGACTGTTGAGGGTTCAGCCTCTTGATGAGTCGATGAAACTCCGACGAAACAGTTTGTCACAGGCCCTCATTTGTCATCCTCTTCTCTCTCTCTGCCTACAATTTACTGGGCAGTTCTATTTGTGACGATATATGCTACGACTTCACTAGCTTCCTGCTACGGTTTTTTCCGGTCAGGTCGAGCGACAGTGGTCGAGGCCGTTACTAGGCGGCCATGCTGTGCCTCTAGTGCCAGCGGCGTGTCTGGAGTGTATTTTTAGGCTGTGACAGACCTTTCTTTGTTTCGTGGATGTTTTGCTGGCTTGTGATGGGGTGTGAACCGAAAGTCTGTAGAGTTTTCCATCTGGTGTGGGTAAGTGATAGTCTACTTTGATTTTGGTTAAGGTAGATTATCATTTACAGTGTAATCAGACAGGGCATCTGCAGACTATTGAGGGTTCAGCCTCCTGATGAGTCGGTGAAACTCCGACGAAACAGTTTGTCACAGCCCCTCGTTTGTTGTCCTCTTCTCTCTCTCTGCCTACGGTTTACTGGGCAGTTCTGTTTGTGACGATATATGCTACGACTTCACTAGCTTCCTGCTACGGTTTTTTCCGGTCA